CCTGCGTCACCCACGGGACCCGTCTGCCCCTTGGGTCCCTCGGGACCGTCCTCGCCCCGGGAGCCCAGGGGACCCTGATCGCCCTGCAACAACACGGAGAGGAGGAAGGGTGTGGAATTGCATCCCCCCGGGTGGGAATGCAACCCACGGGTGGAAATGCAACCCCACGGGTGGAAATGCAACCTCTCCTCACTGGAAATGCAACCCCTCGAGTGGAAATGCACCCCCTCCCGGCTGGAAATGCAACCCCACAGATGGAAATGCAAACACATGGGTGGAAATGCAACCTCACGGGTGGAAATGCAACCCAGCTGGAAATGCAACCCCACGGATGGAAATGCAACCGCACAAGTGGAAATGCAACCCACGGATGGAAATGCAACCCCACAGGTGGAAATGCAACCCCTCCCAGGTGGAAATGCAACCCCCTGGGTGGAAATGCAACCCCCTGGGTGGAAATGCACTCCTTCCCAGGTGGAAATGCACCCCCTCCCGAGTGGAAATGCAACCCCTCCCGGCTGGAAATGCAACCCCACAGGTGGAAATGCAACCGCACGGGTGGAAATGCAACCCCCCGAGTGGAAATGCAAACCCATGAGTGGAAATGCACCCCTCTCCTGGTTGGAAATGCAACCCCTCCCAAGTGGAAATTCACCCCCTCCTGGGTGGAAATGCAACCCCCTGAGTGGAAATGCAACCCCATGGATGGAAATGCACCCCTTTTCGGGTGGAAATGCACCCCATTGGTGGCAATGCACCCCCTCCCGTATGGAAATGCCCCCCTCCCATCTCCCTGCACTTACCCTGTCCCCCTTGGGACCCATGTCCCCCTTGAAGCCAGGGAATCCGTCTTCTCCCTGGAATTGGGTGCAGGTCGGGGGGGCCGGGAAGGGCTGAGCCCCATGGAAGGGGGGGCCCCCATATCTGCCCCCCTGGCGCCCCTCACCTGCTCCCCCTTGTTGCCCTTGAGGCCGCGGGCTCCGAAGGCTCCCTGTGGGGATGCAGAGGGATATAGGGGCATCCCGATGGGAATTGGGGACCCCCTGGAGCAGGACCCCGCTCACCTTCACCCCGCGCGGTCCTGGGTAGCCAATGGGTCCGGGGGCACCTTCAGGGCCCTGGGGACAGAGAGTGTCGGCAGAGCTGGGAATGGCCCCATCCCGGAATGCTCCGAGCCCTTCCCGGCTCCTACCTGCAGCCCCTTCTCTCCGGCTGGTCCCTCTCGGCCGGGATGACCCTGTAGGGATGTGGGAATGCTGAGTCCCCCCCCCGGCAATCCCCGCTCCCATTGGGATC